ACATTTAAGAGACTTCAGGAAGGCTATGAATTCTGGCCGTATTGGGTTTAAAGGAATTTTAACTATTCATGCCCCTTTCAAATTACTCAGGCTCAAAATTGTGGATCATAACAAAAAGAGATGGGTCTAAAGAGAAAACAGTTAAGACAAGGGGCAATATGAGCATTAATGTATCAGACTTCAAAAGGTGAGAGAACAGGCTGCTGATTTTCCACTCACCAATACTAGGAAGGGGCCAAAAGGAAACACTGTGGGGTGTTTTGGTAGATAACCTAGCCATTTGGTCGGTAGTCAAAAATCCCAACACTGACTTTTGTCTCACAAGCTGCAAGCTGCTGCCTGCTCGAAGCAGGATACTGTGGTTAAAACACATGACTAAATCATGCTATGCAAGACAAATTCCCCCTTGCTTTTAAAAACATGTTAACCACTTCCTGGGGGGCAGGGCACACAACGTTCTTCAGATGCTGAATGAACTACTGCTGGGTCCAAAACGGCCCCCAGAAGGGTGCATGGCAAAATGTATTTAACTAACCTTGACAAGTTTAGTCGTTCAAACCTCACTCCTGTCCAGAAGATGTGACATTTCTACGGTGAAACCACTGTCTCTAGGTCCTGCAGCTCTGTGGTTGGGTCCCAGGAGTGCACACTTAGTGTGGAAAACCATGGTGGTCATGTTTTTGTTTCCTAGGCATCCCAAGGGCCAGATGGACATGTGGAGCCAGCTAGACCATAAATGTTCCTTGAAACAGCCTCCTTCCTGTCCCAGTTAAGCAGGCCATACTCCACTTGTGCAGTCTTAGTGATTAACAGTATGTGGACTGTGAAGGTCCTTCCTTTTCTGGAGAATTGAAAGAATTGTCAGTCATACTGGAAGTCTTGAGAGTGCTCAGCCAGTATGGAGGGACACAAAGAGGAGGGCTGCCCTCATGGAGTCTTCTTGCTGTTAGATCAGCCGAGGAGAAGCAGCATCCAGCCCCTGTGCCCTGGGTCAGACTTGTAAATTGCTTACCTGTTTCCCGGCTCTGTGTATGGCAACGAAAATGCTCTGCTGAGTGGTGTGGCTGGGGAGAGAGAGGACAGAGAACTTCCTCATCTCTCAGGAGGTTGAAGCTGTGCTGTAGAGAGTGCTGTTAGCAACAGTTCCTCTTTAGAAAGACACTGTCCTTCCTTCTGCTTCTAGCAACACTAATATTTGTTCCAAATATTAACTCTTCAAACATCAAATCCAGGCTTTCTGAGATGCCAGTAGAGGACTGCGCCGGAGGGCAAAGGGTGGTACTTGGTGTGGCATATTGAGTTTTGAGGATGTTGGCCTTGTGGTGAGATAATGTATCAGAGTCTTCCTTTCTTTTATTTGAAGCAAACATAGAGGTGCTTGAAACTACAAGTAAGGCTTCTGATCTGCTTGACTGGCAGAGGATTTGTAAAATAATCTTAAAAAAACTCCCCTCCCCATTTTTCTCAGGTCCATTCAAGTTCTCTCAGTAGAAACTTCAATTAAACTGCTTCAGTTATGCTGAGTTTTATTTTGCAGAGATGCCTTAGTAGGCATGTCTACTTTGACTGAAAAAAAGCACAAATACAATCACATTTTCTCCTCTTTATTTCTGCAAACTCTAAAGGGCATTTTGCAGAATATTCAGTCATCTTAATAATTTCTTTGGACACATTTCCCAATTTATGAGCTTTTGGGTTGTTTGGTTTTGTTTTGTTTTGTTTTGTTTTTCCCATTTTCCTGTATTTAGGCACTTGCAGTCAGGTTTTGACCACAACTTCCTTTAAACTTTTTCTGCATGGGATATTTCTGCTTCATACATACATGGAATTGAGCCTCTCTCCCACCCTCAGCCCACCCCACCTGCCCCAAGAAATAGATCCTCTTTTTCCTCCTCTTCTAATTGCTGAATAGTTTTAAAGAACCTCAGACAAGCTTGTCACAAGCCAAAACCATATTTCTATATTCTAAAGAATGTCCCTTCAGACACTGTCCCATACTATCCATTTTATTTCATAAAAGCTGTTCGCATTTTTAGTTTTGAAAGAATAAAAACCAGTGAAAGTATATTTGTGTATACTTGCAAGTTTTCAGGAACAGAGAAGAAAGTAATTGCACAATATAGTCATAAGTGAAAAAAAGCAGTAGGGTTTTAAAACAGACAATCCTTAGAGTGAAAATTAAGCCATCAGTAATATTATCAGAACAGACCCAATGGATGCTTCTAGGGATGTATGACATTCGTTTAACAGAGTTGGACTTTATGGGACTGGGTTCAGCCATACTTATCACACAGAATGTGCCCAGCCAACAGAAAGTAACTCCAAAACTAGTGTCAGCGGAGGGTGAATAGTGTATACAGAAATGATGGTGGGGATGACCCCTTTTTCTCCAGTATAATACCATATCACCACTCTCAATGTTTGGTTGACATGTTTGCTGTGCAGGTGTGGGACTACATCCTCATGCTCAACCTTTCCCTAGTGAATCCTGGAGCCTTTGCGGTTTGCCATTGAAATGAAGCCATACACAAGAAAGGGTGAAGGAATGTCCCCTTTGGAAAGCATGTTTGTGGCCAATGCACAGGCCATATTCCACTTTTCAATAAGCCCCTTCCTGGCTGCATGTGGAAACTCCTCCCAGGGTTTTGGCAACCATTCAAAAATAAATGGCTGAGGAATCCACTTTATCCATATACTAGCATGTCACTTGGGAAAAGAGCCATCCACCACCCTGATCTAGGAGCACTTCACCCTCCTGCACCTGCGGCCAAGAAAGTGCAGAACTGGAAGCAGGGAAGCACTGTGGGTAAAATGAGAGGTGTAGTGATCCAGGCTCTGTGGACTAACAGATTCCTGGAAGAATTGACACTGGAGAGCTAGCAGTGCCTCTAGTGGCATGGGGATTGGCTCCAGGAGCATACATATTGCAGCCACTGCCCTGTAACAGACAGTGAGTCTCTTCCCAGGGTGTGCCTGGTGGCTCTCAGAAAACAATTTGTTGTTGAACTTCTGCTATCCTGTTTTCCAGGATATCTTTAGCATACTGTGATGGCAAGAGAGAATACGAAGGACTTCCTTTTGGAAGCGCTAGAGGACCTTACGGTGGATATGTTTGAGAAGTTTAAGTATAAATTATCATATATTGATTATGATGAGATGGCCAATCCATCCAAATCCAAGTATTTGCTCAAGAAAGACAACGGTCCAGTTAAATTTGCAGACTACATGTGTGATCACTATAGAGCCGACTTTGCTGTGGATGTAGTTATCTATCTGCTTGAACAGATCAACCAAAGAGACACTACAGCTAAACTGAAACAGGAAAAAGGAAAAGGTAAAGGAACTTTGGTTACTGGCACTTTTGTATCCTTCTTTTTGGTTGTTCCCAGAAAATATGTAGGCGAACCTTCATCAAATAGAGAGAGATCAGTTTTCAGTCTCCTGTGGACGTCTGAAAATCCAAAGAACCCCAGGGTGCTGCCTCCTTATGCCTGGAATTTCATGACTCTCCTCTTGCCATTGGTCTTCCTGCTCATTTAGGCAACTGCAGCCACAATCGTGCACGCTCTGCAGGACCACCTGCTCCTGGCCTATGATGCAAGGATACCAGGGACTCCAGAGGCACTTGCTCCGCTGTCTTGTGTGCTCTGCCTTGCCCAAGGTATTTTAAGGGAGTTTCTAAAGGCAGAGATACCAAAAGGACTGTTCTGCTCCCCGCCTGACACACATCACTGGCAGTCTCTGCAGTACTACTCCACTAACAGCTACATATAATTTCTCTTTCAGCCCTGAGGCCCAGTCCACCCCCTGCTTCATTAGTCCAAGGCATGTGTGATTGGGATAGATGCGTTTGGGTTTTATCGCCTACACACTCCACCTACTAGTCAAATGTGTATGATCATAGCCATAGTCCTGAAGCCCCAGCAGGGACAGAAAGAAAATATACAAGCAGCTGTTATATGCCTGGTGGGGGGGGAGAAGTGTACTGCTGTAGAGCTCAATAGTAGAAACTGGTTCTTAGCACTATTTTCAAGTTCAACTGAGGTGTGATTGCATTTCAGTGATGGGTGATGGGAATTTCAGACTTTTTTCATCACAGCATCAATAACAGAATTGGAAGGACAAGGCCTATTGAATGATCCAGAGATCCTTTAAAATGAAAGAGATGAGGTAAACTCAAGGTACAATAATTTTGCGGCTGAAATGTTTTAATTTTAGCAGGAGAATGAAATTTACTTTAATTTCAAATTCTTTTATTGCATATCCTTGATTTAGATTACAAGATGAAGTACAGAGAACATGTACAAAAGAATTACCTCTGGATAAAAGACATGAATGCTCGTATTGGTGAGACGGTGACTCTGAACTCCAGATATACAAGGCTGGTTCTTATTAGTGGATATCTCCAGGAAAAAAAGAAAGAACATGAAATCATGGCTGGGGGACAGAGACATGCAGAAATCATGCAGGATGAAGTGAATTATTCTATTGCTATAAGTGATCTTTTTAAACCTGACAGGGATAGACAAACACCAAAGACTCTCGTGATATTGGGAGCTGCAGGAATTGGGAATACAATGACATTAAGATAGATTATGCTGGACTGGGCATCAGAGGGACTCTATAGACAGTTTGACTGTGTTTTCTACATACATCGTTGGGAGGGTAATCTTCTTACAGCTCAGGGAAATATGGCTGACATGATCTCCAAATGCTGTCCCAGTGATAATCCGCCTCTTGTAGAGATCTTGAGGAGACCAGAAAAACTCCTGTTTGTCATCAGTGGCTTTGATGAACTAGGTTTTCTTTGGACCTGCCACAAAATGACCTGTGCTCTGATCCTTGGGAGATGAAACCAGTGGAAATCATTCTGAGGAGCTTATTTAGGAAAATCCTTCTCCCTGAATGCTCCCTGTTGATCACAACAAGACCAGCTGCCCTGCAGAAGCTGGAACAGTCCTTAGTGTGTGAACGCTCTGCTGAAATGCTGGGATTTTCAGCAGTTGATAGGGAGGAATATTTCCACAAGTTTTTTGAAAATAAGGAAGAGGGAAGGAAGGCCTTTCAGTTTGTTAAAGGAAATGAAATGGTCTTCACCGTGTGCCTTGTTCCCATCATGTGCTGGATTGTCTGTACTGTTATGAAAGAACAGCTTGAAAGTGGTAAAGATCTTGCACAAACTGCCAAGACAACTACAGGAATATATATCCTTTATGTTTCCAGCTTACTAAAATCATTGAGCAGCAAGCTGAAACAGAACTTGCACATTATCTTGAGAAGACTTTGTTGCCTGACTGCTGATGGGATCTGGAAGCAGAGAGTCCTCTTTGAGGAGGAGGCAATCAATGAATTCTTGTTAAATCAGAGAGACACTCTCCCACATTTTTGAATGAGAGCACTTTTCAGGCGGGCATTGTTTGTGGAAGTACCTACAGTTTCATTCATCTGAGTGTCCAAGGCTTTTTGCATCCCTATTCTATGTACTAGAAGATGACGGTGAAACAAGAGATAAGCAAGAAGATCGTAAGAGGGATGTGAAAAAAGTGTTAGAAAATCATGAAAACGCAAGACGTTAACTGTGCGGTTCCTATTTGGTCTCTTAAATAAGGAATGAAAAAATGCTTTGGAAAAATAAACAGGGTGCAAAATTTCTCCTGAAATTATAGAATCATAGAATCATAGAATCATTAAAGGTTGGAAGAGACCTCCAAGATCATCGAGTCCAACCATCAACCCAACAACACCATGCCCACTAAACCATGTCCCTAAGCGCCTCATCTACCCGCCTTTTAAATACTTCCAGGGATGGTGACTCAACCACTTCCCTGGGCAGCCTGTTCCAATGTTTAACTACTCTTTCAGTAAAGACATTTTTCCTTACATCCAATCTAAACCTCCCCTGGCGCAACTTGAGGCCATTTCCTCTCGTCCTTTCGCCAGTTACTTGGGAGAAGAGACCGACACCCACCTCGCTACAGCCTCCTTTCAGGTAGTTGTAGAGAGCAATGAGGTCTCCCCTCAGCCTCCTTTTCTCCAGGCTAAACAACCCCAGCTCCCTCAGCCGCTCCTCATAAGGCTTGTTCTCCAGACCCCTCACCAGCCTCGTTGCCCTTCTCTGGACACGTTCCAACATCTCAACATCCTTCTTGTAGTGAGGGGCCCAAAACTGAACACAGTATTCAAGGTGCGGCCGCACCAGTGCTGAGTACAGGGGCACTATCACTTCCCTGCTCCTGCTGGCCACACGATTTCTGATACAGGCCAGGATGCCGTTGGCCTTCTTAGCCGCCTGGGCACACTGCCGGCTCATGTTCAGCCGGCTGTCGACCAACACCCCCAGGTCCTTTTCCGCCAGGCAGCTTTCCAGCCACTCTTCCCCAAGCCTGTAGCGCTGCATGGGGTTGTTGTGGCCGAAGTGCAGGACCCGGCACTTGGCCTTGTTGAATCTCATGCAGTTGGCCTCGGCCCATCGATCCAGCCTGTCCAGGTCCCTCTGCAGAGCCTTCCTACCCTCGAGCAGATCAACACTGCCGCCCAACTTGGTGTCGTCTGCAAACTTACTGAGGGTGCACTCGATCCCCTCATCCAGATCATTGATAAAGATATTAAACAGAACTGGCCCCAAAACTGAGCCCTGGGGAACACCGCTCGTGACCGGCCGCCAACTGGATTGAACTCCATTTACCACAACTCTCTGGGCCCGGCCATCCAGCCAGTTTTTGACCCAGCGCAGAGTACACCTGTCTAAGCCGTGAGCCGCCAGCTTCTCTAGGAGAATGCTGTGGGAGACGGTGTCAAAGGCCTTACTGAAGTCCAGGTAGACCACATCCACAGCCTTTCCCTTGTCCACTAGGCAGGTCACCTGGTCATAGAAGGAGATCAGGTTGGTCAAGCAGGACCTGCCTTCCATAAACCCGTGCTGGCTGGGCCTGATGCCCTGGTTGTCCCGCACCTGCCTTGTGAGCGCCCTCAAGATGATCCGCTCCATGATCTTCCCCGGCACTGAGGTCAGGCTAACAGGCCTGTAGTTCCTCGGATCCTCCTTCCAGCCCTTCTTGTAGATGGGCGTCACATTGGCCAGCCTCCAGTCGTCCGGGACCTCCCCCGTTAACCAGGACTGCTGATAGATGATGGAGAGCGGCTTGGCTAGCTCCTCCGCCAGCTCTCTCAGCACTCTCGGGTGGATCCCATCCGGCCCCATAGACTTGTGAGTATCCAGATGACGTAGCAGGTCGTTGACCGCTTCCTCTTGGCTCCTGGGGGGCTCATCCTGCTCGCCGTCCCTGTTTTCCAGCTCAGGGCGCCGAGTCCCCTGAGGGTAACTAGTCTGATTGCTAAAGACTGAGGCAAAGAAGGCATTAAGTACCTCAGCCTTTTCCTCATCCTCGGTGACAATGTTCCCCCCCACATCCAATAAAGGATGGAGATTCTCCCTGGCTCTCTTCTTGTCATTAATATATTTGTAAAAACTTTTTTTGTTGTCTTTAACGACAGTGGCCAGGTTGCGTTCTAGCTGGGCTTTTGCCTTTCTCATTTCCTCTCTGCACGACCTAACGAGATCCCTGTACTCTTCTTGAGTCGCCTGCCCCTTCTTCCACAAGTGATAAACTCTCCTTTTTTTCCTGAGTCCCAGCAAAAGCTCCCCGTTCAGCCAGGCCGGTCGTCTTCTCCGCCCGTTCTTCTTGCGGCGTACAGGGACAGCCTGCTCCTGCGCCTTTAAGACTTCCTTCTTGAAGATCGTCCAGCCTTCCTGGACCCCTTTGCCCTTCAGGATGGTCTCCCAAGGGACTCTCTCAACCAGCGTCCTGAACAGGCCAAAGTCCGCCCTCCGGAAGTCCATGGTAGCAATTTTGCTGCCTCCCCTCCTTACTTCACCGAGAATTGAGAATTCTACCATTTACTAATGTGGCTTCAAACTCACCAAAAAAACAGCTTTAGCTGTTAATGCAAAGAAAAGAGCAGTGATTCATGGTTTGGAGGCTTGCCACTGTTTGTATGAAATCCAAGGTGAAAGTTTTGTGAAAACTGCATTGGATTATTTCACCAGAATATATCTATGAGACATCAATTTCACCCCATTTGATCAAATAGTTCTTTCATTCAGTATAAAAAAGTGGCCTAAACCGGAGTCGCTTGCCATGGGTTATTGCTCCTTTATCTCAGAAGACCATGAAGAACATTTAGGCCAACAGCTAGCAAAGCTGTCACATCTGTAAGTAAAATTCTAGGTCCCTAGCTTGCAAATTCTCTTAGCAACTGAAAAGAGTTTCAGTAACTAAGAAATGACTGGCTTATGTATCAAAAAATTAAGGCTAAACTTTTCATAAAGTGAAGTTGCAATGATGGAAGCTGCTTTGTGATGAGCCTAATGGGATGTTGCACTAGTAATTACTGGTGATGTGAGTCAGTTCAAGAGTAAGCATTTAAATACAAGAGTGCATGTCACCTAAGTGTCTAAGTTCCCATTGTAATCAAAGACCAGAGCCCAAGACATCTAACTTTCAGACAGTCACCTACTGGCTGGTCAAGTGAGATCACTCTGTAGTCATCACTGACTGAACTTACAAGAAAATTATTGACTGTGGTGAAACTACTGAACTGTCTGGCCTCCTTGTACACACTGACTTAGGATGCATTAGTCTCAAATACAATCCTATACAAATGCAGTCCCATGCAGCATTTCCTTTCCACTTGCCCTCCTATTAATTGTTGATGTTCTTGAAATCAAAGGCCTGAAAAGAGGAAGTTTTCACTTTGTCAACAGGTTTCAAAAGCAGGGAGGGAGCAGCACATTCACCTCTCTAGTGACCCTTACAAGTCCCTGAGAACAGAACGCCTTCCTGTGCCTCATCCTGATCCCACTTCAGATAAGGTGGGTGAAACAACTTCTTTGCTGAGGCTTTCTGTTTACCAAATGCTGGATCCTGAGAAGACAGGAGGTGGTACCTGGACCCAGTGAATGCCAAGGGGAGTCTTCCCCCTCTAGGCAGTACAAATGCCTTTGCCCTTTGTGCACAGAAAAATATAGCATACTGTTGATTTTTGGTTTACGGGTACAAACCTGCTTTCCATGTTAAGGGGGAATGCTCTGAGTGCTTAGAGCTCAACTACCATGTGCAATAAGTGATATCAATCTGCTTTTCCTGTCTTTTCCTCAAGGTATATCTGTACCACGTGATGCTATAAGGTAGGGAAGGAACTCAGCTTGGTCAGGTATCAGGAGCAAAACAGCTACAGTGAGATAGAGTTCTGCCCAAGAGCATTGTCCTTCTTAGAGCTATGCGATACCCATGAAGTGCCCAACCAGGTGCTTTTTATGGAGGAAGCAGAACTCTGAGAACTGTTATTATGGAAGGGGCAGACAGTGCCAGCAGCCCAGAGGCACAGGGCTATCTGGGAACAGACCCCAAATCTGCACAGGCGTGTTTTGCTCTGCAGGCAGGACTACACAAAAAGTTATGTAATAATCCAAGAATCACAGTTTCCCGGGCTTCTCTAACTCTATGGCTTTCTGTGCTGTAGCATGCCAACATAAAGAAATTTTGCTTAGTCCTCCTGTTACTACAAATGGAAGACCACTACCTGTATGGGGCAGCTCCTTCTATTTTAAGGTGCAAGCACATGAACAATTGTTGCACTGTGTATAATGTACCCTTAACCAAATAGTATTTGCTTGGACATGTGAATTTCAGAGCACAGAATATTTCCTTGAGACATATCATGATCAAAGGTACCATGAGTAAACAGAATTCATCCACATAGCTCCCTTTAGGGCATACAGTGCACAGGGATATCCGGAGTGTTCCAAGCAGCTATGACTCAGATCCTGGTGAGGTATTATATGTGTTTATCAAGGTGATTTGCTTTGAACTGTGACTGTAGAATATTCTGCCGCTTAACATCACACCTGTGAGGGTGCTAGTTTAATTTTTGTGAAGCATAACTGCAAACTATAGCCAGAGAGCAGTATTAAATTCATCTCTGCTCCCCGCCCCCCCCCCGAGAAAAGCAATCACCTATTTACTTGCTTTGTCAATCCCTGAAGAATCCAAACTGTATATTAAAGATCTTAAGGCAAAAAGTTATTTTCTTTCAGAAAACAAAGGAAGCCAAGAAAACCCTAACCTTTATATTTTTCCTCCCTCCGACACTCTCTGACAGAACAACTCTATTGATGCTCCTATGACAGCACTAATGTTTTTCAAGAGGTTTTGGAAATGCTGAATTGTCCTCAAATTCAGTGAGGTGGTTTTGGTACACGTCACTTATACCAGCAACAAACTGGGGGAGACTGAAATGACAAAGTAGTTATGAGAAACTGTTAGAGTACAGAAAAGGTTTAGGAATGAGAGTATTCTGAAGATACCTTTCCCTATGTAAACTCAGTCA